ACTGAAGACTGGAGTAATGATGCTGAAAATACAGCTGCGCATCACAGAAATAAATTACATTTTAACACATATTCACATAGAAAACAGCTATTTTAAATAGTAAAAATATTTCAAAATGTTACTGTTTTTGCTGTATTTTGGATCAAATAAATGCAGGCTTGGTGAGCAGAAGAGAATTCTTTAAAAAACATTAAAAATCTTACTGTTCAAAAACTTTTGACTGGTATGTTAGCCTATAGTTTGAAGTAAAAAATATTAATATTAATATTAATAAGGAGAGTCTGAGATTTATTTGACAGTGATTTTACATTTCTTGTTTGTATGAAGGATAAATACCAATAAAAGGTGAACATTTATTTATTTGCGCCATTTTTTTCCTAAAATATTATATAGTTTTATAGGAGTAGGTTTCATAGAGTTGGCAAATTAATTTTTCATAAGTTTGTAGGTACAGACATCTGTTGTGGCCATTCTTGGCCGTTTTTATGAGGCTTTTTTAATAGTGTTCATATCGATATCGGAATTATATCGTATCGACCGAAATTAAGAAATATATCGTGATATAAATTTTGGCCATATCGTCCAGCCCTAGTATATGTTGTGTTGGGTAAATGTCTGTTAAGTGATTAATTCTAAATATGCTCATCTATTTTTTGCCATCCAAAATTAAACAATCAAAAACAACAATTTTGGAGTCACAAATCCAGCTTGCCTGATGTATAGACCCAAATGGAAGCTGGTGTCTCATTCAATTATGTCCCCAGGACATGTCCCCTTTAGGCCCCGTTTTTTGAGGGACCGCCTCACAGTGCTAATTGGGTCTTGTCGAACACCAGGTTGATTGGATGTGACACTTAGTGCAGGGCGAGGGTTCTTAAATTCACTGGAGCAAAGAGAGGGGATAAAACAATCAAAATTGAATTACTGACCAGTAAATCTGCTAATTATAGTCCATTAGCCCAAGCACAGAGAGGTGTGAAGACAATCCAGAGCCACATGGCTCAATGAGACTCCTGACACTTTGATATAGATTACCCAGAGTATGTGTATAGTATTCAGACTATATGTTTGTGTACTGTAGGCTATATTCATGATTTTAAAATACAATAAGAGTAATTCACCCGCAATTCATAAAATGACCACAATATCAGTGACCCATAATATATGTCTGTGTGTATATATATGAAGTTTGTGTTAAAAATACATTAAAATCAATGTTGTGAAATATTATTACAATTTAAAATATATGTTTTGTTATAATATATTTGAAAATGTTATTCATTCCTGTGATGGCATAGCTGAAAATCCAGCAGCCATTATGCTGGTCTTCTGTGTCACATGATCCTTCAGAAATCATTCTAATATGCTGATTTAGTGCTTAAGAACCATTTATTATTATTATCAATATTGAAAACAGTTGTGCTGCATAGTATTTGTAATATTAAGCAACACAAATATTAATATTCTTAATATTTCAGTCTTTGTTTTGAATAATTTCCATGTTTCATATTTTGATACCTATTTAATACGTTTGCTAAACCTTGAGAAGTTATGAAGAAGTTCAAGCTTAATATCATGATGAATTCCATCACAGGAAAAAGCTAATTAACATTTGTGTCTCATCTGTGTCTCATATGTGTTTTTTTTACCCTTCCTACTGTCATTCTTTCACTGTCAGTTGTTTTATTTTGCACTGTCTGTTAGTTGAACCATTCAGGGATGAACCAGCTTGTATTATCTTGTGATCTAAAGTAGAAGAAAGATGGATATTCCCACATAAGTTTACTATACATAACACCAGCACTTTAGAGGACTGTTCTAGTGTGATCTTTTGTTCCAAAACCGTTTGAGTGTGCAGTATATCAATTTTCTGCCCTTTGGAGGGGGTGGGGGTACAGGTCCAAATATTTACATTAGGGCATATCAGTTTGACGACAGTGTGGTGGAGCGGAGAGAAGAGCTGTTTGGTGCAGCAGAGAGGCCATTAGCAGAGTTAAATGGCTAGAAAGAATCTGGACCAGACAGCTTTCCACACAGGATCACTCAACCGCAACCACGTAGCTGCATAAATACTTCCGTCATGCAGTAAATACAGTCATGAGCAAAGACTTGGTTTGTAAATTAGTTTGTTGATAAGGAAACGCCTTTTCAACACCTTTGCATTGGGCAGGTAGATGGAGTTGGGTGGTGTAACGAACAGGTCATGTACACCATCTACCCCCAAATGTCAGCATAATGTGACATGAACTAAAATAAATGAATACATAATAATTCAAATACACTTTAATATATTGGCTCTGGCTGCATTATCCGTCTTGGAATAAATTATATATCAAATATAAAATGTATAAAAATATAAAATTCATCATGTTTCCCCAAGGCTGCCAAGCAAAGCCAATGCTATTTAATTTTGTGAGAGTAATAGTTCAGGAGAGCCACTAGTACTTTTTCAAGTTCATGCTTTGTACCATCTTCCTAATCCTTTCTGGCTGGCAAGGCTGCGTTTTTGTTTTATCCACCTTTTGGCAGGCATTAGAGTTACAAATCACATTTATTTCTAGAATCGAGCAAAATAATGATCAAAAATAAAAACGTTTCAAGTATTTGCTTCTTGTCAAGGACAGAGGAGGAGGAGACCAGTAATGATTGTAGGGTTAGTTGTAACAGTCTAGATTCAGCGCTCTAGGAAGAATTAAAGCCATGCTTAGAACATTACAAGAACATTGCTTTATTGCTCAGAGGTTGCTCTGTCATAGCTAAAGAGCCATTTGTGGACATGCAGTAAAAGTATAGAACATTAAATAAGAGATAAGCCAACAAAGGATAAGCCAGTTGTTTGGGAAATAATTTGATGAGAAATTTGTTCATATTATTGTTTGTGAAATAACTGCAGGGGTAAACAGCAGACACACAATTTCTTTCTTTTGAAGGGCCCTAGCTGCTTCCTAATTATCTTATTTGACACACAGAGAACCACGCTCCCTCTTCTGTCGTTTGGTCTCCTCTGCACATTGCTCGCGTAATTCGGGTATTATAAACTCTGCTGCAATGGTGATGGGTCTCCATCTATAACTATGTGTGCCCAGCTTGAGATGACTGTGCAGACAGGGAAAACGAACTGGCCTGGAGTGACTACCAGAATAGTTAGGCTGCTGTGGATCCTTGGCATTAGAAAGATTATTGTTTATCCCTCTCCTCTCACAGTGACATCTTCAGTCTTGTGAAATTATGAACGCTGCACTGTTCTCCTCCAGGTTGCTTCTCTGGTTTGTGAGGTGTGAACTTGAGTTTAGTTGGAGGATTAAAGATGGTCTTTGAAGAACATCATTAGATAAGTCATGACCTAGGGAGGCAGATTTGGCCCTTGAGGCACAAACAAATGCAATGATCATTGTTATCTTATTTCCTATCAGACCATTTGAAGAAATTAATAGTAATAGTTCTCCTTTCTATTCATATTTCCTTTCTTGCAAGTAGCATGAGCTTTTTTCCTCTTGTTTAACTTTGTAATCCATAGTAGATTATAATAGTGATGCAGCTGCATCATCATACTGATCATATGTTACTGGCAGATTTAAAAAAAAATTATTTATCATATTGGTCGATATTGTAAATGCTCATTTCACCTATTTATACATTTAGACTATCTTTGCCATCAACTAACACTCAATTTGTAATCTTGAGCAAATCTTAAAATAAATAACTGTACATTATACGTTGCTGTAATTCCTAAATTCACTTGTAGCATTTAAAATGATTGTTTTTAATTTTTAGTGCTTTTTTAAAATGTATTTAGAAAAAATTTAATTTTAATGTCGGCCATTTATTGGTTATCAACCATTACATGAAAGTAAAGTTGGTGTAACCCTGTGGATTTTAAACCGTATTTCTGATTTGAATATTTTTTCTCATTAATAAGTGCTGTAAATAAATGAATGAAATGAATGAAACTATACTGTAGGATAATTATAAACTGAAATAGTTTTATACTGCGGACAAGATGTGATTGTATATGAGGTGTAATCCATTTAAGATCTGATCTTAAATATATTATATTAAGATTTTAAGCTTATAGTGTTTTTTTATCCATCATATTTTAACCTGGATTTAAGCCGTGAAATTAGCTGTAGAAAATGGCATGATGTTAAAAACAAATGTGATTGTTAGCTTTGGAGGGATGTGTGGATAAGCAAACATTTCCAAAAAACTGACCTTGTTTCAAGTTCCCTAATTAAATGCCTCCTCTTGAGTCGCACTATTGGGTAAAAAGGCTGCCATGATTAATCTTCAAGACTTCGCTGTCATTCAGTCAAATCAACTCAAAAACCCAATTATCATGATGAGACACAGGTTGTAATGCTGGTTAAAGTTGGTTTGGTTGCATGCGCTGACTCATATTTTAAAAAGCACACCGGAGGGAAAGAACTGAATTTCCAATTATCATAACAAGAATATTCTCATATAAGGGCAGACAGCAGCAGAAAAGTCCTTTTTTATTCTGCATGATTTGGCAACTTAAGGAGGTCAAGACATACATTTGCGTAGCCTTGAGCTATATTAAGTCACAGCAGGAAGGGGGATGAGGGCTTTGTCTTTTAACATGCGCACTAGATGTGGTTGCATGTATTCTGGTATGCTCACTGTCTCCCAATCTCCCTTCAAGTAACACGAGCGCATGGCCTTTTAAATACCTCAGGGAATGTCGATTTACAGTGAGTTTATTAGTGCATTTGGTGCCAGAACAAATTTAGGAAATAAGATGTCATTAAATCATCTATGTTTCAAAGAGCACCTAAAGAGGGAAGCAAATAATATGCTAGAAGAGCACCTTTTGTACTTTGTGCTGAAATGTAGTAAAATAAAATTGTATCCAAAGCAGGCATTGATTTTGTTTCCCATGGTGGAATGCAAAAAGAGGAAAAAAAGAACTTAAGACATTTGTATTTGTAAATAAATAAAAAGAAAAAATCTTTATAATACAGGGCGTTTTTTTGTTACCTTTTATCAACAAAGCTGTAAATAAAAAGTTTCGAGATGTAAAGATTATCACAGCATGTAGCTGTCAGTTTGTAGCTGTAGTATCAATGTTTCCCCATTAGAAATATTAATAGAAATAAATGTTATAGATCAGTTTTCATATTTCATATTTCATATATATTTATTATCAAATATTAAGACTATTATAATATACACTACCATTCAAAATATTGGGTTTTTTTAAAGAAATGAACACCTTGATTCAGCAAATAAGCATTAAATTAAGTTGTTTAAAAGTCTATTTAAGATATATGCTGTTCTTTTGAACCTTCTATTCATCAAAACAAAAAGAAAAAGAAGTATCACAGGTTTCAAAAACATTTTCAACTGTGATAAAAATAAGAAATGTTACTGTCACCAGAACAAATTCCTTGTTTGTGCAAACATACTTGGCAATAAAGCTCTTTCTTATTCTGATTCTGATTCTACTTTAGCATCAAATTAACATATTTGAATTATTTATGAAGGATCACGTTACAGTAAGGACTGGAATAATGGTTGCTGAAAATTCAGGTTTGCCATCACAAGAATAAATTATATTTTAAAATATATAATATATAAAAAATAAATATACAAAATCACAATATTACTGTTTATACTTGGAGAGCTTGAGAGACTTCTTTCATTAACATTATTTATATATTACCGAAGCCAAAGTTTTGAATGATAGTGTAGGTGTAAACATATTTTGTACATATTTTGTACATGCTCAAATTAATTAAATAGAACCTGGTCTTCACTCTGCTGCACAAGATACAAGCCCTTGGAAGAACAAGCTAGATTCCCTGCACCCTGTCTCCACAGATCCTGTCATTGTCAGAGGATCCCAGGCTCCTCATCCTGAGAAACAGCCCAGCCAAGCAGGCAGGAGTGTGCCCACCAAACCCCAGGCTTTTCATTTGGATCCATTCTGTAACCCCGCCCTCTCACTCCAAGTCATGCCTCCAATCCATGCATGACAGTTTCCAACATCCCCTGCCAAAATTGTTTCCTGGATGCATTGTGATCCATGCTATCAGCTTCCTGACCTCCGAGTTCTGCGTCTCACACTTTTTTTTTTTTCATCCTCTCAAGCATGTCAGCAGTTTCTTACTGGCTTGCGAGACGCTGCCCCCACAGTGTGTGGTCTTGTGCCTGTACGGCCTCATGAGGTTTGTTTACGTGTGTATTTGATTCCACTCTATGAACACGTTCACAAAGATGCACTCCATAAGATAAAGAGAAGCACAGGGTCTTGTCATTCTTCCACAGCTTAATCAGGAGCTACACAGAGGAGAGGAGCGCCGCGGCACGGACCTTCCTGATCATTCTAATGAGGACCCCTGGCAATGCAGCCAGCGCAGTATAATTGACTTATTCGTCTCTTATTTTCATAATAGACACTCCCTGACCCAGAGCACATTTAGTTTGCTATGAGAGATGTCAGAAAGCATTGGAAGTTTTCTCCGCACGCCCATTAAATCTGAAGGCATGCCACCCTGTCTCCGGTCGGCCAGCACTGTCATTGGCTGCCCAGCTCATTATGCAGATGGAAAATGTAAGTAAATGATTCCAAGATTGGCCGAAAACCTTCCTTGCCCATACACACCCTGCGCCCCCTCCACCCTGGAGCCTTTCAAGGCATCCAACCAGGCTCAAAAATAAAAAAAATACAGTTCTGTTCCTCTGAAAAAATAAAAATTACATATAAATAATAAAAGCGCAGCAGTGCCCCTTGACGTGAAAACCAGGGGAAGCATGTGGATGTCATTGTTGTTGCAACAAGGCCTGCCATCTACCTTTCAGGACCAATTGAAATCAAATTTTGTGGAGGTATAACCACATTTTTTGTGGAGGTAAGGGTTAGCCAGTGAGGGTGAGCCCCGGATCTCTGTCCCTGCTAGCTGATATGAAACAGAACAGCTGTGGATATCAGTGCCCCCACGCAATTCTCCACTGACCATGTCTGCTGCGATTTTTGGAGCTGTCGCATTAGTTGCTATGGACAGCCGTAATGGGATACATCCTCATAGATCTGGCATTGAGAACACAGAATTAGATCATTATCACTTAAGTAAACCTACTACTGGCACATTTTAAAATGTCTGCAAGTAATTTGCTGCTTTGCAAGTATTCGACATCCTCTATTTCCTGGCACACATAGAAAAGTCCTAGAAAATATTACATCTCTAATAGGTTTTTTTGCATTATACGTGTGAGGAAAAAGCCACCGTCTTCTTTCCTTCTGTATTTTCTGTCTCTGCGTTGTTTAATGAGATGATTGTGTCTCCCATGTGCCTTCATTGAACTTTTATTTTGTGGTCGGCCTTCTATTGCTCGTGGCGCAGCGGCTGAGATACGGGAACATCATTAAAGTAATTACTACAAGCTCTAGTAGTTGCAGGAAAATAATATGGTGGGGGTGGTCTTTTTTTGCACAGACAGGAAATCCTTTTTTCACCGAACATTCAGCACTGCCGTGATTGTTAGAACAGACAGGACCCATCGCATTTCCTGTACCTGTTAAGGAAATGATGGAAATGGAGAAAGAGATGGAAAATCCTGGTGGTGGTATGCCTTCTATTCAGTCATTGTCAGAATACAGTTGTCAGCCCTGTTTTAGAGTGCTAAGTACGGTTATGTTCACACACAGTTCTGTTATGAACCAAAGTGACAACTGTATTCTGTAACTGAATACACTCTCCTAAATTTTCTGCATTCTGAGTGACGTTGGTTAAAACTGGTCTGGGTGAATGAAACTGCACTGAACAACAAGTTTTCTGTCATGTCATATAGTGCAGTAGACAATCAGTCTGTACTGTACATAAACTAATGCGTGGGTTGTGTTTTCATGTTGGCCTTCCGTGGTCTGCTGTTGATTATTTAAGATTAGATGCATTAGTTTGTGCCTTTATTGCATTAATTTATACTATCAAATTGTGTCAGTTGAGAAGACATTCCCATGTTATGGAAGTTGCCATCTTTTTTTTTTTTGGCTTCTCAGAGCTGGTTGGATTCATTTATAGCTTAGAAGATTGTTTAAAATCCTTATGGAGAAGATTAATTGAAAAAAATACTTCAGGCAAGAGACCAAGTGGCCAGGTTACATTCTAATTTAAAGAAAAAAGATTTGACTTTTCTGTTCATACCACCATTCCTGTAAGAATGAATAAAGAGGATGATTCGAGAATCGCACCTGCTTGTAAATACTATTGTCAATCCCTAATGCTGACTTTGTGAATGTAAACATAAAACTGCATCCTGTTCGTCTTTTGTATATCTACAATGTAAAATCCATATTTCCATTTGGCCACATGACAATAGACAAATTGTATAGTGTAATCTGTTTGTGAAGCGGACAAATAAAGACATCACTTTACAGGTAACAGTGTCATACTCTTGTGACACATGCTGTTGATATCACTTTTCAGGTATAGGGTAGCTACTATCATATATTCTTGTTTAGGTAATGGTGAAAATTGTTTGTTTGTGTATGCATTTGTGTGTAAGATGAAGAGAGCAAGAACCAGTATGTGAGAGAGAATAAATAGACAATCTGAATGCGCAGAGTTAGAACAGACAGGACCCATCGCATTTCCTGTACCTTGTGTCAGTTGAGAAGACATTCCCATGTTATGGAAGTTGCCATCTTTTTTTTTTTTGGCTTCTCAGAGCTGGTTGGATTCATTTATAGCTTAGAAGATTGTTTAAAATCCTTATGGAGAAGATTAATTGAAAAAAATACTTCAGGCAAGAGACCAAGTGGCCAGGTTACATTCTAATTTAAAGAAAAAAGATTTGACTTTTCTGTTCATACCACCATTCCTGTAAGAATGAATAAAGAGGATGATTCGAGAATCGCTCCTGCTTGTAAATACTATTGTCAATCCCTAATGCTGACTTTGTGAATGTAAACATAAAACTGCATCCTGTTCGTCTTTTGTATATCTACAATGTAAAATCCATATTTCCATTTGGCCACATGACAATAGACAAATTGTATAGTGTAATCTGTTTGTGAAGCGGACAAATAAAGACATCACTTTACAGGTAACAGTGTCATACTCTTGTGACACATGCTGTTGATATCACTTTTCAGGTATAGGGTAGCTACTATCATATATTCTTGTTTAGGTAATGGTGAAAATTGTTTGTTTGTGTATGCATTTGTGTGTAAGATGAAGAGAGCAAGAACCAGTATGTGAGAGAGAATAAATAGACAATCTGAATGCGCAGAGCTTCTTTTCTCATTTCTCCTCTCTCAAGGTTTTGGCCTTGATGTAGACTAGCAGTACAGGTCACTCCCTGCTTTGTTTCACCAGCACTTTTCGGTGGCTCATTTATAACGTCCTTGGAACGGAGTCACTCTCACATAAGAGTTTGTAATAACTGGACATGTTAAAGAAGTCTGCTATTCTGAATCAAGAATGCTTCTCTCACTGTAACCACATTTGCATATGACAGTTTGTCCTCGGGAAATATTTTACATTTCACGTTTTAGTCTTTTTGAAAGAGCACTACAAGCATAATGGAGTGAATTCAGCAGAGGAGGGTTTGCATTCACTAAATGGAGATGAAGAAAAATACTGAATATTAATTAATGACTTACAGTCTCTAAGATTACTTGACATTGAACTGAACTGTTGTTTGGAATGCAATGCAGTACCATGTCTGATTTTAAACGGATGATCTTATTGAACCTCTACATAATAAAGATGTTCTGCCAAGTGTTTGTTAACCAGAGAAGTGGGGCTAGCGAGCAAGAAGGGCTCCTCAAAATATGCTAATATTTTTATGAAAAAGGAAAAGAAAACATGCTCTGCATTCCCTACTGTAAGTATTCTTCCCCCTTGAACTGTCAACATTTCACCCATAAAAATGTCTTCTTTGATTCAGTCACTAGATTCTTTTCTCAGATGTGAGGCTAATGATTCATATATCTCTGGTTCTGTTGTGGCGACCACTTCCTGTGACTTAGGAAGTACAAAAAAAAACAGCATTTATTTGAAATAGAAATCTTTTTTAATATTGTCAATTTCTTTACTGTCACTTTTAATCAATTTAATACATCCTTGCTGAATAAAAGTGTTAATTTTCAAAATCTTACTGAACCCAAGGATTTGAATGGTATAGTGTAATGTTAGCAATATATTTTTATGATTAAAAACTAATTTATACTCTGTGAGAAAAAAAATGTTAGGTTACGTATTGTAAAGGCAACATAATTAAATAATTGTTTCCTAAAATAAATAATTAGATTTTATATTGTCTTTATAATTATTAATTAATTGCTTAAATTATATTATTTTAATCTTTTTTGGGTTAATATCTATTATATTTTTGGGCTTACACATTAACTTTGACAGCCCTAAAAATACGTATTATAAAGTCAGTTTTTTGTTGTTTTCTTCTCTAAAATTGCAGGTCCCCTTGTGGCCCCCTGGGGGTCCCCTGAGCCCAGTTTCAAAAAGTCTGTCCTACAGGGCCTACACACACAGTGCATGTGTAAATAGAAACATTGTTTACTGAATAGAGAGACATGCTATATTATCCCAAAGACAATATGACATCTTAACCTGGCGCCCTGCAAATGATATAGGACACCCCACATACATAGAAACAAATAATCAAGACCTAATTATTGCAAAAACAGACAAACGAATGAGAACTATTGAAAGGGGTGCACAGGAAAGTGTCATTTTCAACTGTGTGAATCCCATTGCATGGTTGCAAGGGCCTGTCGCACAAAGGAGACCGTGGCTGACAAAGCCGGCTCCTCTCTATGTGAGCCCAACCTAAAAGCATCCGGCTAATAGGCTGGTCATTCACATGTTGAGAATACAGAGAATGAGAGGGCTTTTTCCTCCCTGGCCGGGTTAAAACACAGGCCTCAATCTCCTCATGTACTAATCATTGTCTATTTGCAGGGGATTACGGGGGCCAGCCCACCTTTTATCAGTGGGTGTGGTTCAGCTATAATCATCCCTAATTTTC